GCGGCGTGTGGCCCGGCCCGGGATCGGAAGTGCCACGCAGAGCCGGGGCAGGGGCTCTGGGCGCACAGGACGAGTGTCCCCTCAGACTTCTCTAGCAAAGTGACAGCTGGAATCTTCTCTCCTTCGTCTCTCCAACCCCCTTGCTGGACAGCAGGGCCAGTTCTCTGTCCCGCACTTCTCTTGGTCTGCCACCGCGTCACGTAGACGCTGTTCCTCCGCCCTGGTCAGCGGTCTGGCAAACTGCATTTTGCCCCTGGATCTCAGGGTAGTCTGCTTGCCCCGTGAGTCTCTCGGTTTTGCAGACTGTAGCTCCCAGGGTACGGTGACCAGATTTTAGCATTGGTAAAGCGGGACACCATTGAGAAAAATATCCTGGCAAAATAGCCACAGGGCAGCCAAAAACCGTATACCCTAGCTTGTCGTGCATTCATTCCAAAAATCGGGACTTTTTTTAAACGCCGCGGGACGGGGGAAAATTTGTTAAAAATCAGGACTGTCCCGCCAAAAGCAGGACGTCTGGTCACCTTATCCCAGGGGCCTCTGAGTGTCAAGAATGCCAGCAATCGGCAAAGGAGGGAAAGGAGTTGAGAGTCCTTGCTTTCTGGTTAGACAGCTCTGGTTAGAACGCGCTGGGTCCCAGTCTCAGTGTCCCCATCTGTAAAATGGGCATAACTAGAGCTCTTCATAAACCTGATCCTGCGCAGTCCATTCCAACCGATGGCGGCCTCTTGTGTTATAGAGTAGAACTCTCTCATAGGGGTTTCTTGCTTACAGTCAGCAAAGGCTGTTCTTCCCTGGTGCCGATAGGTGATCATGCACTGCCAGGGAAATGTCTTGCACCACCTGTAGCACTGCAAAGGGGCCCAAGATGCAATCACCACTCCCACCGGATTTGCAGAAGGCTATGGATGACGGTGGAAGCCCCAAATCCATCTGCAGAGTCCCTGAGTGGATTAAGCCTCCGTTGAATCTTTCACTGACAGGTTGTGAATTGTCTCACCCTCAGGCAGAGTGCATCAGAAAGTGGATTACTTCCACCCCCTGACCAGCCCAGGGAGGGGCAGTCTCCCTTAGGGACTTATCTGGGGGTCCACTTGATGGAGACCACCATCCTGAGGGTCGCATAGTCCTGACAGCCTCAGGCAAGCTCCTGGACCAATATTATTAGCTCTCTGCCTTACATAATGCCTGTGTCCCAATCATGGCCCCAAGCCAGGAGGCCCACCAGTAACTATGTCATATTGATCTGCCACCAACCATGTTTATGTGACAGTTTTCTCTGGCCTCCCATGTCCTCTGTGAAGCTATGTATCACAGCAATGAGACTATTCGCCTCCCGGGTCACCGGTGGACACCATTATGACCTCACCTCATGCTACGGTCACCTTTACCCAAATGGTACTTCTCTGAAGTTTTCCTGTCCTTGGCCCCATTGTTGTTGATAGTTGTCATCAAGTTGGTTTCCACCCATAGTGGCCCCACGCACAACAGAAGGAAACACTGCCTGTCCCTTAGCCTGCTCACAGGGTTCCTATGCTTGGAGCCCACGGTTGCAGCCACCATGCCAGTCCATCTCCTGGAGGACCTTCCTCTTTTTCGCTGCCCCTCCCCTCTACCAAACATGATGTCCTTCTCCAGGGACTGGTCTCTCCTGACAGCATGTCCAAAGTACGTGAGATGACGTCACACCATCCTTGCCTCTAAGACTGTAGACTTAACCAATGTTCTGTTTTAAAGAAGAAGAGATGGATGGGACCCAACACTATGGCCCTTGGCCACCCTTCAGCCCTGGAATTGAACTTGCTCCAGTGTTTGACTGATCAATCATTCAAGGTCAAAAGGGCAGCTTTTGACCAAGGACAAAGTCCACGGCCTTAGGGAAGAAGGTGGAATGGAAACAGGAGACCCCGGAGGGGAATTGGATCGGGGATGGGATACAGAGGGGACTGCAGGGTACAACTTGAGCTAAAACATTGAATTGCTGTGTGCAGAACCTGCTCTGTCTTCCTGCACCTGATTCACAATAGAGTTTAAGGGATGGGGCGAAACAAACGAGAGACTGTTTATGTCCCCTCCTGGTTGTGGCCACTAGAAGCACTGGCCAGGTCCAGGTGGGAAGAACCAAGAGGTGCCGAGAGGAGCGTGAATACTGAGAGAGCATCCTGCCCCTCCCCACAAGGCTGAGACCAACTCAGTAGCCAGGGTGGGCAGCCCAGGTCCACAGAAGCCGCACGTCTGGCTTCACTCCGCAAACGTGTCCCTCCCGATCAACAAGGAAATGAGATTTCAGGCAATCCAGAAGTAGACATTAGAGACCAGCTTTTTCTTTTTCTTTTTTTTTTTAAGACTGCAGACTACAGAATCATTGTCTGACATACATAAAGCCCCCTAATCTTTCTGGCTTTGAGTTCAGTCCCTTTGCTATGAGGCTTTCTTGAAGGAAAGATGGCTTGTGGGTTGAAATTGTCTGACCAGACTTCCCTTGAGAACTCCTGGGCCCCCTCACTCCTCCCTGTGTGAGAGCCTTTCCAGTCGTTCAGCCTGGCTGCCCCCACCCCGATGCCTTTGCTCGTCTGCCTTCTCCCCTTGCGGGCAGAGAGACAGGTGCTTCGACTCTGTGGCCCCCATGCTGTGGAATGCGTGGCAGGATGCTAAGAC